GAGTCGCACAGCCCACCTGAGAGTCGCTCAGCCCCCCTGAGTGTCGCACAGCCCACCTGGAGACATCAGGGCACCAACCCAGAACAACACAGAGTATATAGCCGCAAATTATTTTTTACTGCTGTATATTGTATTTCTGGGATTTGTAGTCCTCTGTAGACTGTCTCCCTACTCCCTCCCCTGGCCGCCTCTCCTCTATGTTATAGAAAAAAAATGTGCCGCACACGGCGCTTGAGTGTTCAGGTTTCACTTGAAGAAAAGGCGGCAACCCTAGGCTGGAGGTTCTCCCCCCCTGCCTTAAAGTATTGATATGATTCCTGTCCTAAGGTGACAACGCTGCTCCTCCATACAATACAGTGAGTAAGTGTTGTCCCAGACAGGAAGTGTGTTGCTGGCAGATGAAAAGAAAGAAGAAAAAAGAAAACTAAAGCAGCCGGCACATCTGAGGACCGGCGAGCGATATGACACTTCGGTATGATCTCTGATCACATTATAACTAAGAATAGAACACATGATACGTAATATCGGCTTTCTATAGCTCATGTGCGATCCTTCATTCAGGGGGGTAGCCCCACTACAAGGGTTCACTTTTGAAAACCACGAAGATCTTCTTTGAAATATTTACAGTATATGGTTCCTGTCCTAAGGTGACAACGCTGCTCCTCCACAGATAGAATGAGTAAGTGTTGTCACTCTAGGACAGGAAGTGTGTTGCTGGCACCGGTGAGCGATATGACACTATTGCTCCATCCATGGTATGAATGATCTCTGATCACATTGTATCTAAGAATAGAACACATGATACGTGATATCGCCTTTCTATAGCTCATGTGCGATCCTTCATTTCCAGGGACAGTCCCGGATCTGCAAGTGACTGGAAATGTCCAATATTTCACTCCCGAGACGGTGAGCAGAAAACCTGAAATTCCGGCAGGACGGAAACGCGTCGTTTTGATACAATTTGGGAAATTCGATACAAATGAATGAAGTTCTATAATTAGGAATAATGAGCGGAGAATTCCTGGAGGGCGCAGGAGAGGAGCGAGCGACGTGCGGTGTCACCCGGACTGACTGACTGATCGGGAATGCGGTGACGCCGGATAACTGCTGAGATTAGCCAATCGTGTTTTGTTTTTCAGGCGTGAGAGTCTTCTGTGTCACAGCTCCGCCCCTCCGGCTCCTACTCTCCCAAATGCTCTGATACCCCAATACCGGAACTTCCTGTCAGAGGGAACATGGAGCCGGCTTCCTGATTCAGCAGGCAATTACATTTCTTTTATATATATATATAGTTTTGGATAAAGTAAAGGAGGGATATAGAGGGACCCCCGGTCAGCTTTATGTTATTGCCATCCAAATCCCCGTTAGGGTTGCCACCTGGACAATCCCCTTAGGGATTTTTCCTTCACTTCCTGTTCAATAGCCACAACAGGAAGTGAGATGAAATACCTCCAAAGAGAAGGAAATCCCTGGTCAGGGTCACCAGAACTAGTGTCCCCATTGGAAGATTTTCTGTCTCTTCCTGTTCTGGTGACAACCCAAAATTTGGGATTTTCTGTCGGTGGGAACGTTCACCAGGACAAATAGAGAGGGTGAATCTCCCTAACGGGGGACACAGATAGCAGTAAAATCCTGACAGGGGGTCTAATCCTTCTCCAATCCATCCAAAACTAAAAAAAAAAAATTGTCTTTGCATGCCATTAGCCTTACCGATGCATGAGCTCGCTATAGTTGATCGTCACATACAAGCCTTTTGCAGTACTCCTAGCAGCCCCCAGATGTCGCCAGTTCTCTGGGGATGAAAAGGGAAATAACAATTAAAAAATAAATAAAGCAGACACACAGTGAGCCTGACATACTAAATAAATAAATAAAATAAATAACTAAATAGATAAATAAATTTAAATAAACTAAATAGACAAATAAATACATTTAAATAAAATAAACAAATAAGAACTCTGGGTTAAAAAAAAAAAAAAACACCACCCAGCCTTTCCGCTCCTTTCCATCTCTTGTGGGAGGAACTCTTTGTCACATTGTCAATTTATTTTTTTTATGATTGCAGAACCAATTTTTTTCTGTTTTTCATTTTCATAAAAGTTGTTCTTTTGGTGTTTTATTTGAGTGCGTTGGTTGGTTATTTTTAATATAATATTTTTCAATTATTTTTTTATGGTAAGATTAAAAAAAGGGCTTCTTCAAAATGGACTGCAATGCGTTTCACCGCCGCGTCTCAGATTGGTTTTAAATGTCATTTTTATTCCACGCTTTGTTACATCTCAGAGCTGCTGATCTCCTGCAGTCCTTTACCGCCACGTCCTTCCTGTATACACCGCCGGATATTTCTCAGGGTGAGTTTCCTGAGGTGGTAACAGTGGACTGTGTCCGTGTAATGTACCGGAGCGCTGCACAGTGACCCAGAACCTGCCTAATCACACCTACTGAACCCCACTACTACTGAACCCCACCACTGATGAACCTCATCATTACTGAACCCCACCAATGATGATCCCCTCCATTACTGAACCCCTCTTACTGAACCCCACTACTACTGAACCGCATCATTGATGAACCCCACCGTTACTGAACCCCTCAATTACTGAACCCCACCACTGATGAACCCCATCATTACTGAACCCCTCTATTACTGAACCCCACTACTACTTAACCCCACCATTGATGAACCCCACCGTTACTGAACCCCTCTTACTGAACCCCACCACTACTGAAACCCATAATTGATGAACCCCTCCATTACTGAACCACGCCATTAATGAACCCCCACCGTTACTGAACCCCGCCATTGATGAACCCCACCTTTACTGAACCCCACAATTGATGAACCCCATCATTACTGAACCCCTCCATTACTGAACCCCACTACTACTGATCCCCTCCATTACTGAACCCATCACTACTGAACCCCACTACTACTGATGCCCTCCATTACTGAAACCCACTACTACTGATCCCCTCCATTACTGAACCCCATCACTACTGAACCCCACTACTACTGATCCCCTCCATTACTGAAACCCACTACTACTGAACCCCACCGTTACTGAACCCCTCTTACTAACCGCACCCCACCATTCCTGAACCCCACTACTACTGATCCCCTCCATTACTGAACCCCACTACTACTGAACCCCTCCATTACTGAACCCCACTACTACTGATCCCCTCCATTACTGAAACCCACTACTACTGAAACCCACCATTGATGAACCCCTCCATTACTGAACCCCGCCATTGATGAACCCCACGGTTAATGAACCCCATCACTACTAAGGTAAGATGTTTGTGCAAAATGTTCCTACAACTTTCTATTAGCTATTGGGGACAGATCAGCGATTGCTTCCCTTCCATGTCCTCGGGATATAAATGATGACGTCATGTACACACAAATGGATTTATTTCATAAGATCCGATCGATAAGCAAACTCAACATCACTTCCGCGCCCCCCGAAATCCAACATTAATATTCCAAACATTGGCAGTCACATGCGTTTACAGATTCGGATGATTGGATACAATATTGCCATCCTCAAATGCAACCTTGGGACCGAGAATCTAACGGCCCGTGTACGGTCAGCTTTACTAATGAGATGTGAACGGGTTTACACCGCAGAGCACACAGGGGCAGCGGACGCTGATGCTGCACATCTTTTCAGACTTCCGCTGCTGCTAGACGATTTGACATCCCATTGTTTTCTACACGCCTTTTACTACCGACTTCTTGTAAGTACAATACAGTTGTGCGTTTTTATCATTAAAATTTGTTTTATTTGTTTTTTGTCTCTCAGGGTTTACACCGGAACCTGCCGCAGAGCACTCTGCACACATGTCTTTATTGGGATTTATTTAATCATTTGAGATTTTATTTTTGTTACTGGGATGTATTATATTATTTATTATTGGGATGTATTATTTATTTTATTATATTATTGGGATTTATTTGATGAACGGATAACAAGACTCGGGCTCGGAAGCTGCCAAGTACCAGCCTTTACACTCCATGACAATCCATCTTGACATTGGTTGATGAATGGAAAGTAGGATTTCTATAGGATCATATCACCACTGCCATACAAGAGGATGTAGCCAATCAGATCGTTCCTTATGAATTGTGGGGTTCAGGGGGGGAGTGATCAGCCTGGTTCAGGGTCATTGTGCAATGATGGTGCAGTTTTAAAGTGGAAGTAAAAAAAAAACTCTACTGCAACTTGGCAGCATCAGGCCTTCCATGGGGCTTACTCATGGCATTCAACATCAAAATCTTCCATACTGTCCCCCATGTAGATGTATTCTTTTCATGCGTTGTCACCCACACATGCACAGTCCGGGCAGAGCACCCCAGGTTGCCAAGAGCTGGGGCAGAGAGATGTGTAAGAGTCATACTCCGCTCTCTTCCCAGCTATTAGCAACCTTGGACGCGCCGGCTGGCATCCCGATGAGTTGCCAGGAGCCTAGTGTGATGCTCTGGCTGGCGTCCCCTCCAGTTAGCATGCACCACCCGACAAAACCACTAGGGGCGCCCCTGGCTGAAGCAAATGGGGCTCTACAAGTCATTCAAGGTATTTTTAGCAGTGATTCTAATTATTATATTATACGGTGATGATTCAGTCTGTTGTCATTGGACACAATGTATCGTCTCCGTGGCAGCCATTAGCCAGGTACCATGGAATGGCTCAAGTTCCGGGGAATACGTTGATAGCCAATCAGGAGATTCTCAAACACCAGATCCGATGGGAGTGTCCCAATGAATGCTAGCCAAACGTCGGCGAGTAAAAGCGTCATCTCCCCCCTTGGCGTGCACCACCAGCAAAAGGAATTGTATACATTACATCCATTTACCGTCCCAATTCCTCCCTCATCTTGGGAAGCGCTCAGTGAAACGATGGCAGACCGAGATAATAAATATCACTTTTACTTCAAGTTACACAAATATACTGAACAGGTTACAAAACACTAACAAATCAGCAACGTTTTCAGCTCTCTGCTTCCTGCTGAAGTCATAGAAGCCCCAGAAGAGCCGTCACCATCTCCCCGACCCCATCGAAGATCTCATGCAGGGGGCTGTTGCTCATGAAGGCGCAGGTGGTGACCAGTTTATTCTTGGCGTCCACATGGACTTCATTCACCTCCTTGTTGATGTGTTTACAGCCAAGTTCTTTAATGGTTCCGGCGGTACCAGCGTGAGGCCACCTAGAGAGGACAGCAGAGTGGAAATGTGAGAAATTACATACACATATATTATTTTAAATTAATTAATTTAAAATAACGTGACAAGGTTTTATAAGATGAAAAGCTTACAAAATGCCTTACATGACATGAACCCCCTTCAGCTCTAGCACTTGTATACTCTTTATTGACCAGAGCAATTTTTAACATTTCACCTATGGGCCTACTGGTCTGGGAATAGTCTGCATTATACTTTATTGTATTACGAGGGAAAATAAGAAGGCAAACCTATTTTCTTGTGCAAACCATGTGGAAATTAAAAAAAATATATAAAAAAAATTCTT